AGCGGAAGTAGAGTCGATGTATATCATCGAGGCAGATCACGGCAACTAGGATTTACAAACTCACAACCGCGAGGTTCTATCATCTATGCTATGCTGTGCACCAGACCTGATGTGTGTCTTGCTATAAATTTAGTAGGGAGGTACCAAAGTAATTCAGGAGTGGATCACTGGACAGCGGTCAAGAACATCTTGAAGTACCTGGAAGGGACTAAGGATATGTTTCCCATTTATGGAGGTGACAAAGAGCTTGTCGTAAGTGGTTACGTCGATGCTAGCTTTGACACTAATCCGGATGACTCTAAGTCACAAACCGGATATGTATTTTTATTGAATGGTGGAGCTGTCAGTTGGTGCAGTTCCAAGCAGAGCGTCGTGGCGGGATCTACATGTGAAGCGGAATACATAGCTGCTCCGAAAGTAGCAAATGAAGGAGTCTGGATGAAGGAGTTTATATCCGATCTAGGTGTAATACCTAGTGCATCGGGTCCAATGGAAATCTTTTGTGACAATACTGGAGCAATTGCCTTGGCGAAGGAATCCAGATTTCACAAAAAGACCAAAGACATCAAGAGACGCTCCAACTCCATCCAAGATTTGGTCAAGGAGGGAGACATAGAGATTTGCAAAATACATACAGATCTGAATGTGGCATACCCGTTGACTATGCCTCTTCCACGAGCAAAACATGATCAACACCATGACTTCATGGGTGTTAGATTCATTACAATGTAATCTAGATTATTGATTCTAGTGCAAGTGGGAGACTAGAGGAAATATGCCCTAGAGGCAATAATAAAATTGTTATTTTATATTTCCTTATTCATGATAAATGTATATTATTCATATTAGAATTGTATTAACTGAAAACTTGATACATGTGTGAATACATAGACAAAACACTGTGTCCCTAGTATGCCTCTACTAGACTAGCTCGTTGATCAAAGATGGTTAAGTTTCCTAGCCATGGACAAGTGTTGTCATTTGATGAACGGGATCACACCATTAGGAGAATGATGTGCTGGACAAGACCCATCCGTTAGCTTAGAATAATGATCGTTTAGTTTTATTGTTACTGCTTTCTTCATGTCAAATGCATATTCCTCCGACTATGGGATTATGCATCTCCCGGACACCGGAGGAATACTTTGTGTGTTATTAAACGTCACAAGTAACTGGGTGATTATAAAGATGCTCTACAGGTATCTCCGAAGGTTTTTGTTAGGTTGGCATAGATCGAGATTAGGATTTGTCACTCGGAGTATCAGAGAGGTATCTTTGGGCCCTCTCGGTAATGCACATCATATGAAGCCTTGCAAGCAATGTGACTAATGAGTTAGTTGCGGGACGATGCTTACAGAACGAGTAAAGAGACTTGCCGGTAATGAGATTGAACTAGGTATGAAGATAGCGACGATCGAATCTCGGGCAAGTAACATACCGATGACAAAGGGAATAACGTATGTTGACATAGCGGTTCGACCGATAAAGATCTTCATAGAATATGTGGAAACCCATATGAGCATCCAGGTCCCGCTATTGTTTATTAATCGGAGAGGTGTCTCGGTCATGTCTACATAGTTCTCGAACCCGTAGGGTCCGCACGCTTAACGTTTGATGACGATATGTATTATATGAGTTATGTGTTTTGGTGACCGAAGGTTGTTCGGAGTCCCGAATGAGGTCACGGACATGACGAGGAGTCTCAAAATGGTCAAGAGGTAAAGATTGATATACTGAAAGGTGGTATTCGGACACCGAAAGGGTTCCGGAATGAATCTATATCACTTTATTTACTTGCTTTGTTTTTACTTTGCCTTTACTTTTTACTTTGCATCTATCTATCAAAAATACCAAAAATATTATCTCTATCAGAACTCACTCTCGTAAGCGACCGTGAAGGGATTGACAACCCCTAAGCGTTGGTTGCGAGTTGCTATCGTTTTGTGTAGGTACAAGGGACTTGTGCGTGGTCTCCTACTGGATTGATACCTTGGTTCTCAAAAACTGAGGGAAATACTTACGCTACTTTACTGCATCATCCTCTCCTCTTCGGGGAAATCCAACGCAGTGCTCAAGAGGTAGCCGGCAACGGCGCCAAAAAAGAGTCTTGATCACCCACAAGTATAGCGGATCTATCGCAGTCCTTTCGATAAGTAAGAGTGTCGAACCCAACGAGGAGCAGAAGGAAATGATAAGCGGTTTTCAGCAAGGTATTCTCTGCAAGTACTAAAATAAGTGGTAACAGATAGTTTTGTGATAGGATAAATTGTAACGAGCAACAAGTAACAAAAGTAAATAAAGTGCAGTAAGGTGGCCCAATCCTTTTTGTAGCACAGGACAAGCCTGGACAAACTCTTATAATAGGAAAAGCGCTCCCGAGAACACATGGGAATATCGTCAAGCTAGTTTTCATCACGCTCATATGATTCGCATTCGGTACTTTGATAATTTGATATGTGGGTGGACCGGTGCTTGGGTACTGCCCTTACTTGGACAAGCATCCCACTTATGATTAACCTCTATTGCAAGCATCTGCAACTACAACAAAAGTATTAAGGTAAACCTAACCATAGCATGAAACAGATGGATCCAAATCAGCCCCTTACGAACCAACACATAAACTAGGGTTTAAGCTTCTGTCACTCTAGCAACCTATCATCTACTTATTACTTCCCAATGCCTTCCTCTAGGCCCAAATAATGGTGATGTGTTATGTAGTCGACGTTCACATAACACCACTAGAGGTTAGGCAACATACATCTTATCAAAATATCGAACGAATACCAAATTCACATGACTACTAATAGCAAGACTTCTCCCTTGTCCTCAGGAACAAACGTAACTACTCACAAAGCATATTCATGTTCATAATCAGAGGGGTAATATTGTGCATAAAGGATCTGAACATATGATCTTCCACCAAATAAACCAACTAGCATCAACTACAAGGAGTAATCAACACTACTAGCAACCTACTAGCACCAATCCCGGACTTGAAGACAAGAATTGGATACAAGAGATGAACTAGGGTTTGGAGATGAGATGGTGCTGGTGAAGATGTTGATGGAGATTGCCCTCTCCCGATGAGAGGAGCATTGGTGATGATTATGGTGATGATTTCCCCCTCCTGGAGGGAAGTGTCCCCGGCAGAACAGCTCTGCCGAAGCCCTAGATTGGTTCCACCAAGGTTCCGCCTCGTGGCGGCGGAGTCTCATCCTGAAAGGTTCTCTTCTATTTTTTTCTCATCGAAAGACTTCATATGGGAGAAGATGGACGTCGGAGAGCCACCAGGGGGCCCACGAGGTAGGGGGCGCGCCCAGGGGGGCGCCCCCCACCCTCGTGAGCAGGGTGTGGGCCCCCTGGTCTTCATCTTTGGCGATAATTTTTCTTTATTTATTCTAAGATATTCCATGGAGTTTCAGGACTTTTGAAGTTGCGCAGAATACTCCTTCAATATTTGCTCCTTTTTCAGCCCAGAATTCCAGCTGCCGACATTCTCCCTCTTCATATAAACCTTGTAAAATAAGAGAGAATAGTCATAAGTATTGTGACATAACGTGAAATAACAGCCCATAATGCAATAAATATTGACATAAAAGCATGATGCAAAATGGAGTACCGGAGGGGTTACCGAAACCCCCGGGGAAAGATATGGGCCATATGGGCCATAGGAGGGAGGCTAACCAGCCCACAAGGGGCTGGCGCGCCCCCCACTAGGGAGGAGTCCGAATTGGACTTGGGGAGGGGGCGGCGACCCCCTTTCCTTCTCTTACTCTCTCTTCTTCCCCCTTTCCCCCTCCGGTAAAAGGAAGGGGTGGGGGGAATCCTACGAGGAGCCCAAGTGGGACTCCTCCAACTTGGGCCCCGCCTAGCGCCGGCCTCCTCTCCCTCCCTCCTTTATATGCGGAGGGGGAGGCGCTCCTAGAGGACACACCAATAGCTCCAAGCCGTGTGCGGCGCCCCCTCCACAGTTTATGCCTCCGGTTATATTCTCGCGGTGCTTAGGAGAAGCCTTGCGCGGATCACATCACCAGCACCGTCACCACGCCGTCGTGCTGACAGAACTCATCTACTCCTTCGACCCTCTGCTGGATCAAGAGCTCGAGGGACGTCATCGCGCAGAACGTGTGCAGAACTCGGAGATGTCGTACATTCGGTATTGATTGGTTGGAACGAGAAGACGTTCGACTACATCAACCGCGTTAAGCAAACGGTTCTGCTTTCGGTCTACGAGGGTACATGAACACACTCTCCCCCTCTGGTTGTTATGCATCTCCTAGATAGATCTTGCGTGAGCGTAGGTAATTTTTTGAAATTGCATGCAACGTTTCCCAACAGGATCCATCGTCGATCTGACGTCCACCGGCACCGTCAGTGTTCCGGGCTCCGACGAGGAAGAGTAGGACATGGAAGACTGCGGCGCCTTGACTCCGTGAGCCGGTTCGTGTCCCATGTCTTACCCTACCTCGTCAGCGGCCGGAGCAACACTCTTCGGAGCGCAGCTGGCCGTCGGATATGGGTACGGCGGTGCCAGACAAGCACCGCTTAAAGATTGATTTATGTTGCATGTAATAATATAAATTTGAGGTATCCGGTTGTACAATAAAATATTTGAGCCGTGACCGGTTAGTGTCCGTGGACGCGTCCAAATCATGTCCGCGGAGGTCGTTTGAGGGTTTGAATTTGCCAAGTCCGGCTTTACATGCTCTCATAGCTCAGGGGTGCGTCTCCATATACCGGAAGCCGGCGTGAGTACGCGGGCCATGGACCCACTAGCGCGACTCCAGTTGTAGATGCTCTGACTGGTAGACTTCCATGTGAACATTATTATTTGCAGCCTGTGCCCATGTCACCGACCGAGTTTGGAGCTTCTTGGACGGGGCTAGACCCCGAGATGTAGAGATAAGATATCCGTGATGAGTTGCTGAACTATTTTCTGTATCCACGAGTTTCCATGAGGGCGGACAAGATTATGATCTGATGGGAATTCCGGCGCGGCAATGATCGAATTAACTGCGGTCGCCACGGTGGCGGCGAAGATCGCGCCTAAGCTCGCCGGTTTCTTTCTGAGAAGGCGCAGGCTGCTGGCGGAACTGGAGCATGACATCGAACACATCCAAAGGGAGTGTTCGATCATTGCTGCCGCCATCGTAGATGATGGTAATCATCAGCATGCGAGCGACGCTGCCGAGGCTCATCAGGAATGGATCAAGATCGTGCGTGACTTGGCGTACGACATTGATGACTGCATCGACCGCTTCATACACCGCGTCTCGACGGCGCCAGTCGCCGACGCGGGGTGGATCCGTCGGAAAGCTCACCGGCTCAAGACGGTGAGGGCCCGTGGCAAGTTTGCCGCGGTGATCGCTCGTCTCAGGAAGAGATCAGACGAGGCGTCGGAGCTGAGAAACAAGTACACCGATCTAGCGTATGGACATGGCAGGGCCGCCGCCGTCTTTGAGTCACGGGTGCCTCCTCACGTGGAGACGGAGCCGGAGACTTACACAGATAACCCCGTGGGCATGGACGCGGCCGAGGAGGAGCTCATGGAGCTGATAAGGGGAAGTTGGACGCAAGGTCAACAACACAACAAGGAGAAGCTCAAGGTGATCTCCGTCGTCGGATTCGGTGGTATCGGCAAGTCTCAGCTTGCCAAGAGTGTGTACGACACACTTGGCGACGAGAGGCAATACCCAGCACGGGCTTGGGTTCGAGCTGCAGAGAAAGGCCCAGAAGATCTTCTCCAAGCGATATTGCAGCAACTTGGAGCGCATACCACCACCACCATTAGTGCAAGCTCCAGCAACAGCAAGCTCTGTGCAACCATACAAAAGCGCCTTGGGACCCAGAGGTACAAGAAATTTCCTACCCAGTTATGCTTCCATTGGATTTCTCGACTCATGTTTCTATGCTCTACAACATGCTTACCCACTACCCAGTATCCACAACACTACAGTATCATCGATATTATAGCCATATAAAATGCATCTTTATTTTAGCACAATTTGATGCAACCAGCAATTGCCACATTTTTTTGAGGATGGAATTCTTTTGTTAATCTCATTGTCGCATCATGTGATACAACCTTAAAAGTTATTAATTTCTCGACTCTGACAGCAAGCACAAGTTCTCAACATTAACACTAACATCTTTTCCTCCTATAGCACCTTCCATTCACTGATCTACTCCCTCCGTTCCTAAATATTTGTCTTTCTAAACATTTCAAATGACTAACACATACGAATGTATGTAGACATATTTTAGAGTGTAGATTCACTCATTTTACTTCGTATGTAGTCACTTGTTAAAATGCCTAGAAAGACAAGTATTTAGGAACGGAGGGAGTATATCCATACAATGTATGGCTTGCTGGAAGTTCAACAGTAACCCAAGTACCCAAATTGTACAAATATTAGACACAAACTCTACAAATCGTTTTAGAAGATGAGTCATAGGGAGCGGCCAAGCACAGTGGCAGAACTGCTGGAGCAGAGTACAGGAGAACAAGCTGAATAACTCAGACGCTCTAAGCAAGAGCGCCGCCGAGCTGCACGATTCAGTAGCCCAGAGTGGACTGCTTGATCTGACGGTTGGCTGTGTAGTCGCCTAGTCGGTGCGTCGTCGACAGCTGTCCCGGTCCTTAAGCAAGAGTTGTTTGCTTTGGGGTTGTTTTTTGCCATTGGAAAAGCTTGTGACCTGTAACTCTGCTCTTCTCCTCTTCCCCTGAAATTCTCAATCTGCTGCACTCTTCCTTCTCTGAATTCTACTCTCTGTCTCTTCAACTCTGTATCCTGTGAAGAGAGAAATACCAATCGGGTGGGCGCGTATGCTGCTTCATAACACATGGAGAATGTTAAACAACATGAAAGTATAAAAGAAAATTAGAAGAATCTAATTTTTCATATATTAGTATGTCTTTTGTTTTCAAGCACAAAGGAGATTTTTGCGTACTCAATAAAAGATCAAACTTCAGTGCTCTAATGAAGCGTCTTTTAGCAATACTACTTCGGTTTCCTTGTGCTATCCGATAGTTGCTTGGCCTCAAGATTCTAAGTCGTTTCTTTTTAGCAATACTACTTCGATTTCCTTGTGCTATCCAATAGTTGCTTTGCCTGAAGATTCTAACTCGTTTCTATTACTTATAGGTTCTTCATTGTAATCGATGACATGCGGGAAGACTTTTGGGTCGATATAAAAGATGCTTTCCCTGTTGTTCCTGGGGTCGACAGTAGAGTTCTCGTCACGACGGCCAGGCAGACCATAGCAATCAAAAGCAGCAGTAGTGATGGTCATGTGTATGTAATGAGAACTCTTGACGACGATCATTCAAGACAACTGTTCTGTGAGGAAGCTTCCTTGGTGTATCCACCATCAGTCGATGATACGAAGCTGAGTTCAGAAATAATAAAGAGATGTGATGGTCTGCCCCTTGCTCTTGTTACCACAGCACGGTTGTTGCACGGTGAATCCAGACCGGAACAATGGGCAGATCTGGGAGGAAACCTTGGCGAACATCTGGAGAACAATAAGAAGTTAGCCAGTATGAATGCTGTGCTCTTCCGTAGCTACACCGGCCTAAGTAAGCAACATATCAAGACATGCTTGTTATATCTCGGTATTTACCTAAGTGGCCGCCCAATCAGAAGAGGAAGCCTGATAAGGCGATGGTCCGCTGAAGGTTTCATCACTGCAGAGCACAAACGCAGTGCCCGAGAGGTCGCTGTTGCCAATTTCAACGAGCTGGTCGACTGGAGCATCATCCATCCTATGGATGTCAGCAGCAGCAGCAGCAGCATAGCAGAGGTGAAGGCATGCCAAACTCACGGCATAATGCTCGAGTTCCTCCTGCACAAGTCCATGTGTGAGAATTTTGTTACCTTGTTGTACGATGATGTTCCCCCACCCACTAAAGTCCGCTGGCTCTCTCTGCATAGTGGAAGTGCTGCAAGCTCCAGAATTAATCCAAATGATGTACCCTTTCTCCGTTCTCTGACGATCTTCGGCAAGGCGCACAAATCTGTCTTGAATTTTTCCAAGTATAAACTGATGAGAGTTTTGGATTTAGAAGAGTGCCATGAACTCATGGAGGACAAGCATCTCAAGGGGATATGCAGCAATCTGGTGCTACTCAGGTACCTAAGCCTCCGGGGCGCTTCTAAAATTACAGTTCTCCCCAAAGAGGTCAAGAAGCTTCAACTTTTGGAGACACTGGATTTAAGGGGAACGAATATAGATATTCTGCCCACACGAGTCATGCAACTACAGAGTTTACTTCATCTGTTTGGAAAGTTCAAGCTCCCACAAGGTGTAGGAAGCCGGAAAATGCGTAAGCTACAGGCTTGGTTGCAAGAGGAAGATAACAGTAAACTGCAAACAGTAGCAGGATTTGTTGTGAACGACAAGAGCCAAGGATTTGCACAGCTGATGGGTGAAATGAAAAAACTCACAAAGGTGAAAATATGGTGCGAGTCTACCACCGATGCCAGCAACTATTTAAGTCATCTCTCAGAGGCCATCAAGGAGTTCATCGAGAGGGGCACCGACCCGAGCAAAGCTCGTTCACTCTCACTGAACATGAATGGTGCATGGTCTCAAGGCTTTCTGAATTTCTCCCTGGAAAGTGATCCATCCTGCTATGTTAGCTCGCTCAGGCTACAAGGAAACAACATATCCAGCCTTCCTCCGTTTGTCACCATGCTAGGTGGACTCACTAAGCTTTGTCTTTCATTCTGTCATCTTCAGCTGAGCAGTGTCATTCTTGAAGCCCTGATCAACGTGAGTGGCCTGACGTACCTCAAGCTGAATGCAACTCGAATGGACAATCTTGTCATCGAAGAGGATGCACTCGGAAGCCTGAAACGCCTATGCATAGTGGTGGAAGTCATTACCGGGCTGGTAATCGAAGAGGGGGCGCTGCCGGACCTTGAGTCTCTCCAGCTTCTATGCAAGGATTTGAATGGCTTTAGCAGCACGAGGATCCAGTCCCTGCCACGTCTTAAGGAGGTCGCCCTTCATGATGGAGTGAGCGAAGGAACAAAAGAGGAGTGGAAAGGAGCAACAAAGAACCACTCCAGACACCCCAAGCTCTTGTTTGTCACGAAACAAATGGTCGATGATCATTTTAAACCGATGAGAACTGAGGCTGCTCCTGAAATTAGCCCTGAAGAGACAGCTGTTGACGCGATGGTGGTGGGAAGTGAGCCTGTAGAGAATTCTGAGAGCTCTGGGGCACCACATACTGATACCGCATTATCGGTTACAATGCAGCCCACCGATATGTCCACTCAACAGTCTGGTAATAACTAATAAGTGACGTGCCTCTTATTTAGCTTAATTACTGCTTTGGTTAATTCCTTCATTGTGTTGAGTTGTACATACTCTCTCTTCATGCATGTATGTGCCATTTTTTATGTGCAGTACAAGTTGTTACTTCTGAGATGGTTAATGCCCAGGAACTGATGGGAACTGAGTCTGCCATGGAAACTAGTACCGATACGACCGAAAATATTGATGTGGAAAGTGAGCATGCGTTGAATTCTGAGAGCCTAGTAGCACCACCTACTGATATGATGTTACCAATGACAACGCCATCCGATGTCATTTCTACTGAAGAGTCTGGTACTTAAGTCATGTACATCTCATTTTGCTTACTTATTTATACATCTGTTAATTATTGGTGTCGTTGTGTTGAGTTATATATACTCCCTCTTCATGCACACATCTTACATTTTTTTTATTGTGCAGTACAACTTAATGTTGGTTGCGAACATAATGACGATGGGAAAGATCTGGATAACATTGAGGACCCAAAAGATTTTGCTACGGAAAATGGTCTGAGCACTCAGTTTATAGATCACATGAGCAAGGAAAGTTATAAAGTGGAGATGGAAGGAGTGGCATGTTTAGAGGATCTTCATATGAAAGATGGCACCCAGGTAATGTACACATAACACTTGCTTTAAGTTCTTCCACTTCTTCTCTTGGTGATGTACTCCCTCTATCCAGATATATATGGCCTATTTCCTATTTCAAGATTTACTCTCTGACCATCTATAAGATCAATAATATATGAAATGAATGCTACAAAAATTATACCATTGGAAATTCTTTTCAAATACTACCTCCATCCGGAAATACTTGTCATCAAAATGGATAAAAGCAGATGTATCTAGACGTATTTTAGTTTTAGATACATCCCTTTTTATTCATTTTGATGACAAGTATTTTCAGACGGAGGAAGTATGTGTTTTTGTAGCTAGCAAGGAGAAGTCTGACAGTGATTAGAGATATTCAGATTGTTCCTGTTTCTTTTTATGATTTATGTAGTTGGATTTGTGAAGTTCACTGGAGATGTTAGAAATTTGATGGTTGTTAGAGCAGTTCTTGTAGTTTCGACTACTACTATGGTTTTCAATTGTCAAATTGGTCATTGCTTGCACTGCTTTAATTTGCAGAAACAAGGCCTACAAAAGAAACAGCGCCTGCGCACAAGGTTGCTGTCGCTGGTGAAAATTGGTGTCTTTCGTCGGACAAGTCGACAGGGGCGGTTGGTGCATCGGCTGGATTAATCTTGCCTGGGACAGGGCTGGGATGTGTTTCGAGTATCAGGTTGGCGTTTTAAGTAGCTATAGCTTCTGTTGCTTTGATAGCTAGACTGCTTGTTGAGCCTTTGGACATTGTGTTAATAATCAGTTTTCTGATCCGCAAATGGTGGATGCTCAGGTGCTGGGTGTGCCAGACAAGTACGGATATGGGGGACTAGTCTCCTTAAGGTTATGAAGTGCTTCTGATAAGTTTGTCCTTGAATGCACATGAGTTTGTTTTTATGAATTCAGATTTGGTGGCTTTCTGCTGTCCTGCGACAGAGTCCACCCTGTATGTTATTGGACATATATTTGGTCCCGTTCGGGTTTGGCGTCTACTCCCTTGGTTCCTAAATAATTTGTCTTTCTAGAGATTTCAACAAGTGACTACATACGGAGCAAAATGAATGAATCTACACTCTAAAACATGTCTACATACATCCGTATGTTGTAGTCCATTTGAGATGGCTAGAAAGACAATTATTTGGGAACGGAGGGAGTACTTCACAAAACTTTATCATCGTCCTTCACACCGTCACAAGACCAGCTTCCCCTTTTATAATTTATTTCACATGTTAGTATACATTTGTTAGCATGAACAGTATCATAACTCATAAGTTACATGCCTATTATCCTTGTTTTGTTTCAGGTGGTTCTGCATTTAACCATTGGTTTTATGAATGTAATAAGGAAAGTACCCTTTTCTTCACAAAAAAAAAAATAAACAACTTGATGACGTTTGTGTTCAATTTATGCGTGCTAATCTTAGCAAGAGAATAATAATAATAGAATGTTGCATTTTACTCCTAATACTCCGTTTGGTATATAAATGGGGGTTACACATTAGGTCTACTTCAGATAGAATGTTGAATTTGGGATTGGGGGTTCCTCCCCTGGTCGCTAACTCATGGTGGAAAAGAACTGGTTTAGAGGTGAAAATATAAAGTTACAAGATGTTCAGTAGTAGAAAGCAGTGATTATCCCCCAATCTCCTCCCATGAATTTGATCTGCTGCTCGGGGATCAGGAGCAACACAGGACGACGGAGGGAGGTGCTGCCCCTCAAGCCGTGCTAATGGCGGCCGCTACACTACATTTTTGGCCAATAAATACACGCCGCTCCGCTCCATCCTCGCCGGTCCGATTCAGAGAGCATCGGAATGAAACCCTAGCTGGACTCAGAGAGCACTTACAAATGAAGCCGCCATGACCCCGAGCTCTGCACCCTGAGATAGAACGATGACGCCCGGGTGGAGGGCAGCCTCCCACCGGCAGAATCATCCCCCTCTCCCGCCCGCACCATTTGGCCGCGGCCTCTGCTCTGCTTCGCTCTAGCTCGCCTGCTCCTATGCTCTGTTCCGCCGCCCAGCCAGGGTATGTTGGCACCAATCGCCCCGCAGATCGGACGGCCACCAAAATTCGACTGGATTTTTTACTTTTTTTTTTCACGCGATAAAGGCCCTCGTAAGCATAAAATTTTCCCCTTTTCTGGTTTCTTGCTTTTATTTATTTTTTATGTGACTTTCCCCGAAATTCTAAAAATATATGTGAATTTCCCTACAAAATACAAACCCCACGCCATCCCACCCTGCGAGGTCTGGCACAACACACTCCTACTGCAGTTGTTAAGAGCATCTCCAACAATCGCTCAACGCGCGGCGCTCTAAAAACTAGTTTGTAGCGCGCCCACCGCCTGGTTTGGCGCGGCGCGCAGCGCTGGTTCCAGCAGCCACGGGAAAATGCAGCGCACGCGAGGTGCCGACGCATGCCATTTGTTGCATTTTGGACATAAAATAAATTTCACACATCACAAAACAAAGGCATGGCATATAATTTAAATCACACAAACAAGTTGATGACTAAAAGTTTAAGCCCACAAGTTCAAATTCATGCCCACAACATTATCCAACCAAGTTCAAAATGCAAACCAAGTTCATGCCACAAACGAAAGGCACAACAATCAAGCCTCGTCCTCGTCTTCATCCTCATCTTCCTCTGATTCATCCGACTCCTCCGAAGACGATTCTTCCTCCTCCTCTTCATTGCTGCGCGCCGCATCCTCATCACGTGAAGTTCGGAAGGTGTTGGCAAGATCTTCAACGGCATCTTCATGCGAAGGTGTGTGAGGCACACCGGAAGACATTCCGCCTATGGTGCCCGGAGGTGCACCCATGCCTCCAATGAGAGACGCAAAACTCATGCCACCCATGTCGGCCATGCCGCTCGGAAGTGCTGCGAAGCCACCCATGCCTCTCATGGTCTCCATGGTAGCTCCAAAGCCACCCATGGCACCCATGCCGCCCATGGTAGCTCCGAAATCACCCATGCCTCCCATGCCACCAAGGCCTCCCATGGCTCCCATGCCGCCAAGGCCACACCACCCATTTGCGTGAATCATGGCTCTTTTTTGGATCAAGACTTCTTCACGGGCAAGATTGACATACTCCTTTTGTGCATCACTGAAGATACATGTGTCCAAGAAGAACAAGTGCTTCTCTCATTTCAACAATTTGGATCACTCCTCCATGCCCACCTTCCTCTCCTCGGCCGCCACCCTCCTCTCCTCGGTCGCGGCATCTTGGTTCCTTGCCATATTCCTCACCTCGTTGGCTTCTTTTCTTGCCTTGACAATTGCTTCCATAGCATTTTTGAGCTCATCGTCTCCTTTCCTCTTCTTCTTTTCCTTTTGCGTCTTTCTTGGTCTCATCCGGTCGTTTTGGCTTCGAGTATGAAATCGAGTTTGGTGTGGGGCTTCTCTTGCCGTCATCACTTGATGCCTCGTCCTCATCTTCATCCAAAACAATTGTTCGCTTGCATTTTTTTGCTCAAATCCAAATCATCAATATCCTCACGCTTCTTCCATTTCTCATCATCCTTCAATACTTCATAGCAGTGAGGTCCTTCCTTTCTTGATCTTCCCCTTCTTGGTCCTCTTCTCCTCTCCTTTGAACAAGTTTTGTGCAATATTTAACTACATGAAAACAAAACAAGTTAGCACTACAAACACCAACAACAAGCATGATGAACATGAATGATGAAATGGCACTTATCCTATCTTCATCATTAGTGCCACTTGGGTTCAACTTGTCAACCGCCTTTTGTGCCGGTGCCCATTGTTGACAATCCTTATTGTTTGTCGACCACCGGGAGCGAAGAGATCGATCGGAGCGGTCAATTCCACTCACATTGCGTAGATTAAAGTGTTCTTTCATCCGGAGCCAATAAGAATCTCTACTTTGATCACCTACAACGGATGAATCCCTCGACACGTCCAACCATGTTTTGCATAGCAAGACATCTTCGTCGTTGCTGAAGTTGCCTCCTCTTCCTCTCGGTGCAAATATTGTTCATAAACATATCATTCTCATGGTCTGGCAAATATTGTTCTAAAGGATCAGTAGGAGGCACTACAATAGAAGCAAGACCAATTATTTCATCCTTACTAGGCAATTCTTTATCATGGGGTTGTCTACGAAATTTAGCAAAATTAAACTCATGTTTCATATCCCCCAAGCTTATTGTAACAACATCCTTTTCACAATCAATCTTAGCGTTAACAGTATTCAAGAAGGGTCTACCAAAGATAATGGGACAAAAGCTATCTTGTGGGGAACCAAGAACAAGAAAATCAGCAGGATATCTAACTTTCCCACACAAGACTTCAACATCTCTAACAATCCCCATTGGTGAAATATTATCTCTATTGGAAAGCTTAATTGTAACATCAACCTCTTCTAACTCAGCAGGTGCAATATCATGCATAATTTCTTCATATAAGGAAAAATTTATTGCACTAGCACTAGCACCCATATCACATAAGCCATGATAACAATGATCTCCTATTTTAACAAAAATAACAGGCATGCCTACAGCGGGTCTATGTATCTTAGCATAGGGTCTAGCAATATTAGCAGCTTCATCACAGAAATCAATAATATGCCCATCAATATTATCGGCCAAGAGATCTTTAACCATAGCAATACCATAGCAATATTACCGGAGGAGTACATGTTCTAGTATTACTCTTATGAACAACAGTTGAAGCTTTAGCATGATCCTTTATCCTAACAAGGAAAGGTGGTTTCTCAACATAAGTAGTAGGAACAATAGGAGCATTATAAGTGATAGTCTTTTCTTCAACTGTAATAGGTGCAACTACTTTTACTTCAGTGGGAGGATTATATTTAAACCACTTCCCCTTAGGGAGATCAATGTGAGTAGTAGCAAATGATTCACAGAAAAAAGCTACTATCTCAGAGTCAAGTCCATATTTAGTGCTAAATCCACGAAAAGCATTGGTATCCATAAAAGACTTAACACAATCAAACTTAGTCGTCATACCTGACTCCTTACCATCATCAGAATCCCAATCTTCAGAGTTGCGTTTAATTCTTTCCAATAAATACCACTTGAATTCAATAGTCTTCAGCATATAAGAACCAGCACAAAAAGTATCGAGCATGGTGCGATCATTGAGAGAAAGCCGAGCATAAAAGTTTTGAATAATCATTTCTCTTGAGAGCTCATGATTGGGAATATAACATTGACTTAAGCCTCTCCCAAGCTTGAGCAATGCTTTCTCCTTCGCGAGCCAAAAATTATATATATAATTACGATCACGATGAACAAGATGCATGGGATAAAACTTCTGGTGAAATTCCAATTTCAATCGTTTATAGTCCCAAGATCCCATATAATCACATAGCCTATACCATGTCAATGCATCTCCCTTCAAAGATAAAGGGAAGACCTTCTTGTTAACAACATCATCGGGCATACCTACAAGCTTAAATAATCCAAAAACTTCATCCACATAGATAAGGTGTAAATCGGGATGCAATGTTCCATCTCCTACAAAGGGATTAGCTAGCAGTTTCTCTACCATACCCGAAATTTCAAAGTAAACATTTTCAGTAGGTTCAGTAGGTTGAGGAGCAACTCTTTGCTCCACTGGTCAGGGTGAAGATACCCCAAACAAGCCCCTCA